CAAATTTCAATAGTCTCTTCTGGGTTCGGTTTGCCTTAACAGCTGATCATTATCTCGAATGTAGTGATCACCAGTTTGCGAAGAGCTATGATGCATTTAGAAATCATGAACTGCATATTAGGCGTCCTTTAAATGGCTAAATCACTACAATCTATTTGTTCCCTGTTATGCTTTTTTTTCGCAAATATGCAGGAGCCACACATCTTCTTATTAAGAAAAAGAATTTAGCTCCCAATACAAGCCGACCCTGGTTGGTTCTCTGTTACATTCATAAGAGAAAAAAATGACCCAAAGCTGCCTAAATTGATGCCCTAGACTCCTCTAGTGCCTTAGCCCCAGCCATGCCCAATAGCCAGGCTTCCTCTGAAATTTCTCTGAGAGTCAATGCAATGCATGGGGTTCCTATTATGCTGGTACTATGCATTCTTTGCTGAAAAAAACTTATGTCACTGGCATAGTTATTAAGGTGGTAAGGCGAGGCGTGGCGACCCACCCCCTTCCAGACGCCTAGGCGAATAAGGCGCGCGGCGAGGCGACGCCATACACACATACCCTCACCTACATTAGGGCAGGACAAACATACATTGATACACACCTTTTTGCTGCCAATTTTAGAGCCTATGCACAAGCAGCCAGCACCACTAGCCAGAGCAATTTATACCGTATCCAATTATCTAATCACAAGCAGCATAACACATCACAGGAGACTGGAGTATATCCATATCCAAGTCCAAGATCCAAAGCATAAGCAAAGAGGCAATATAGTCCAGACTTTTGAACAGAGGAAGGACATAATAGGAAAAACAGAGAAGAGAAGAGCCTACGTGAAGGACTGAAGGTGCTGGGCCTGGCCTGCTGGCAGGGAAGCAAGCAGATGAAGGAGAGCTCATGTAGAAGCGGAAGCAGGCAGTCCTCGACGGGGCATAGGTCCGACCGTCGGAGGCGCGGATCCGCGGGCGAGGACGCGAGGTTGGATGTCGGAGGCACCAGCTGACGGAGCGGAGATCGGGAGGCCGTGGAGCAGTAGCAGGTGCCGTGAATCGGCGGAGCAGAAGGGGCGAGAGCGGCTGGATGGGACGGGGCGCATTCCAGGTGCTTCCGCAGCCATCTTCTCTTCCCCAATCTCCTCTGTTTCCCTCCCCTCTCTCAATTGACGAGCTGCAGGGTGGGGCGCGCCCCTGGGGAAAGTATAGGCGCCCAATTTCCCCTGCGCGCGCACCTTCTTTCGTCCTCCCGCGCGATTTCACCTATGCACACAGCTGCCCCTCGTTTTTTCATCCGCCCGCTCGTCGCTCTGCGCACTTTTCCCTGCGCCTGCAACCGCCTTTTCGCTCTTGCGGCGTCGGTCGGACGCCTTGGCGACGCCTTTCCGCGTGAGGCGACGCCATATGCAGGGAGGTCGCGGCGGGCACGACGCCTCGATTGGAAAAGCGCCCAGACGCCTAGGCGACGACTAGGCGACGCCTTAATAACTATGGTCACTGGTATTCAGCAGAATGTGGTTTTGAATGTGAGTGCCTGTTCTAACAATATTGCCTTTTGTCATGATTTGTCCTTTTGGGTTTTAGAGTGGCTTGTACAGTTGATGATTACACTCTGACCATGTTCAGTGATTTTTTTTTGTGTTGGGCAATGCTCTTACATACTGAAGTGTTTGAAAAATAAGTGGCAATAATGATTATAGATATGTTAATGCATTACAGTTCATCTTTATCGGTCAGTTTACACTCTGATGCTCTTCTTTCATTGTATGCTTGCAGCCTTGCACTTGTTTGTTTAATTAGTGGGACTTCGATTCATCCAGTTTCATTTTTTTGGGAATAAATATCTGCTGAGTAGAAATAATCCTTGCATTTATATTATTGTTTTGGCAAACGGGGTACTATTCTTTTAGGGTTCCAAATTTCCCTAGTGTCTTCATTTCCAATGGAAAAAGGGTTGGTTTGCTTTTTTGTAATAGCACAACAGCTGATCAACATGTCCTCAAATGTAGTGGTCACCAATTTGTGTAGAACTATGGATACATTTAGAAATCATGTACTGCATACTAGATTAGGCATCCTGAATCACTATTCTAAAAGTTACTTGTTATCATAGTACTTGTACATTATTTGCTGAAGAAATTTGATGTTATTTGTATTCAGCGGAATGGGGTTGTGATAGTTGATTGCCAGGATAAAACTGACATAGATTTAAATAAACGATTTTAGAGTTTTCTCCCTACAAATACGAATTGGCAGGTCTGTTGATGCGTCATGCATGAGATCAACCAATACTTGGGTAACATGTTAGGTTGCTCACTACACACTCCACTTGTTTATTACTTTGATTTCTATTTTGTTATCTTGTTGTTCGTATCCAAAGTCAGTCAGTATGTTATTATTTAGTAACTTGGTCAGTTTCCCATGGCTACCAACTTGTCCAAGCTGAAGTCAGCTACTCTGTAGATGCCTTGTAGAATAGATAATTCTTGATATGCTTTGTTCTTGTCAAGGAATCAAGACTTGCTTTATTCTGATGTGTTGTCTAACATGCATGTTGGCAGGAGAAATTCAATGACTATCTGTGCCGTGAAGGCGAGAGGCTTAGGCAGCAGGACAGAGCAGCGATGGGCCGAAGCTAGAGAGGGAGCATCAACTTTTCAAATTCACAAGATTCATGCCTCCCTACTAGAACAAGTCCCTGTCTAGGATGGAATCCTTCTACTGGCTTTCACTTTCCTGAGCAAAACTTGCTCCGTATGTCAATAATAATAAATCGACTCTGGTTTTTCTGTTCTTTGTGCAACCTGCGCGCTGTACTATAATCATTGAGAACAACGGGCCCTAGCATCATTGAGAACAACGGGCTCTGGGTGGCCTTTTGGCCCCTGGTTTGTCAAGGGTTGAGTACTTGTTTGGCGTCATCAACTTGTGCGACATGATGATGTGCAACTTGTCTTGGTATAGTTACTCTGAATAAAGGTTGTTGCATTTGATGGGACTTCACAAATATCTGCCTCCTTGAGCAATTTGGTGGGTGTAACCATTGACCCTTGGGGGCGGATTTTGCCAGATATTGCACCTACTGACGTTTAGGTGTATCTGGTTCTGACACACCCCAGTTTAACTGCAAATGTAATATAGCACCGCCTGATTCGTTCGTGATGACGATCCAGGAGCGTATTTTGCTCCTCCTGTTTCAATTCTTACGGTGTGCTGCAGCGTGGTGTCAGTGTGTGTGCGGCAGTGTTGCTCGGTGGTACCCGAGTGAATCCACTGCACGCGTAGCCTGCAACTTTCGAGCCCGACACGTCGTCCCCGGTGCATGCACGGCATCAGGTGTGTCTTTAATTTGTCCGGCCGAACTGACCCAACAAAGTGTTAGGAAAGCCGTGGGAGACGCGGCCGTCAGATTGTGCCAAAAGCCTCGGCTGCCGATCTACGCTACGCCCGCCGGAACGCGCAAGTTGCATGGCGAGGCACACAGAACCGATGGACGCAAGTATAAAGCAGCCACACCATCTCCTTCCGCTCCGGCACCACCGCTCCGGCAGCGGCTGACCCCGGCTATCTATTCTATCTATCACACAGGGACGTGCGAGCCGCGGAAACGCTAGGTATGGAGGAGGTGAGGTACGAGAAGGTGGCGTCCCGGTTCTTCCTCGCCGTCGGCAAGGGGAACGCCGGCGGCGACCACCGCCACTTTCTCGACGCATGCTTCCTGTGCAAGCGGGACATCACCTCGAACCGCCACATCTTCATGTACAAGTACGTATCTAGCTGTACTGCTACTTCTTAAGCGATCAATATGCATGCGCTGCTGCGCTCGTCGTCGTCTCTGCAGTCTGCACCTGCACCTGCATGCCACGGCCATGGGCCACGGGATCATGCATGCTTTCTTGCATGTCTTTGGTCAATCGATACACATCAGCTTCACCTCGTGCTCGATCATGCTTCATTCGATTCCGCATGCGTGCATGCAGGGGCGACGCGGCGTTCTGCAGCGACGACTGCAGGCAGGAGCAGAGGGGCATGGACGCCGCGCTCAAGGCCGCCAGGCGCCGCCACCGCCAGCTGCGCCGCACCGCCTCCATGCCGGCGTCGTCGTCGTCGGCCGCCGCGTGCACCGCCAACAAGGCCGCCACTACTGGGAACTGGAATATCGCTGTGGGTGAGGGTTTTTTCTGACGGCAGCTGCCCGGTCCGGCCCGGGCGTCCGTCGCTGCTGCCTGCCTTGCAGTCCACGCCCGCCCGGCTGGCCCCCATCGGTCGTGTCCGGCTGCCATGCATGGGATCGGAGCTGATGGGCGAACGAAGAAGATGCGGCGGCGCGTCCGGTCAGCTGATGTGTACATTTTTGCCATCTTGTGTGGTTTTGGTTTTGTGGCCAGCTGCTGCTGCGGTCCTTCCGTCAGAGAAGACGGATGCGTGATATGCATGGCGCACGGTCTGTGTACGTGTACATGTTGGATTGGGGACAAGTTTATGAGATTAGACTTGTGGCATGAATCATGATGCTTTGCAAAGTGGACTAGCTGGCTACTACATCTCCCTGCAAAAGGTTCACAAGAGTAGATAGTAGGAATAATATAACCACCTCTTTTTTCTGTACGTACATGTACTGTTTTTCTTGCTTCTCAATGAACTGCAAGGATGGTCAGTAAGATGGAAACGTTTCAGCGGTTACTCATCGCTAGGTAGTCGAATGGGCCAGCCACGTACTCTCTCTCGTTCCAGGGACGTTTTACTTTTTTTTGTCTTGAAATCAAATGTTATCTTATTTTTATAAATTTTTTTTATAGAAAAATACACCAACACCTATGGCTAGTGATAATAAGTATTGAATATGCGTCGCTAAACCTCACGTCCCCTACAAAATTAATGATGAAGCCAACACAAAACATACAATCTCATGTGCAAAAACAAAAACATCAAGACGGCTGCACGGGGAAATAAGCACAAGTGGAGAACTAGCTCCATGCTGACACACGCATACATACAGGTCCAGTCTTCTCAAGCTCACAGACGACCACTTGTTGAAGTTGATGATCGCTTGTTGGGGGTCGGCCGAGTTACGCCAATGTGGGTTGTCAGCGCCCAGAGCACGGTGATGAACTCTCCTCCTTGCACCAGGACCTGCTCATGCCCCTTCACGCGCTCCTCCTCGTTCGACGGCGCCACGAAGACGATGAGCTCCGTCCACACGTCGGCCAACACCTTCCACACTGTTTCATGACGGTCACCTCCCTCCCTTAGCAAGTCCCCTGCTAGCTTTGCTCCGTTCAGAACGACCTTGCTCTCGTCATCACTCTGGCCTGATTCTGCTGCTTTGTCTTGGTCTGGCGTTTCCACATGTATTTCTTCCATGATCCTCTGGACCTTCGTACTCTTGGACGAGAGGAAGTACGCCGGACACCCAATCATGCTCTTCAGCTCCGCCTTCATGTCCTCGAACACAGTCTCCGCCTTCTCCTTGTTGTCCGGCAGCAGCTCCGGATGGAACGCCACCAAGTAAGCGCAGTACTTGGACAGCCTAGTTGCCACCCTGCTGAGAGCTACTTCGTCTTTACTCTGAGGGGCACACTTCACCTCCAAGATGCTGGTGGCGATGTGCCATGTCAGGATGACCTCGGCGACACTGTCGCTGCCACAAGCCCATTTGAGCTGCGTGGAGAGATGGTGCCTTTCCAACACGGACTTGCCATTGGTGAGAGGGGTGTTGTCGCGGTCATGTCTCACAAGGCAATCTATGATGGATCGTTTCAAGCTGTTAGGCGCCGGCTCCGATCTTACCGCCAAGGAGAGTGGGGCGAACAATGGTACAAGGAGTGGCCAGCGAAGGTTCAGCACGGAGAATTGCTTTAGCCTAAGGTCGCCATGGCTCATCTTGCTACGCAGCCACAGGAGGCGGCGGAAGGCTCCGCTGAAGGTGGGGCTTTCACGCCAATGGCGTTTGGCGGTGTAGTCGCATAGCACTGAGACCATGAACCAGTTGGAGAGGAGGAAAACAAGGAACTCCCATATCTCCTCGTAGAAGAAGATGATGAAGAGAAACACGGTGATAGCAAGGTCTACCAGGGAGAAGAAGGCTGGAGCAGATCTATTGGCAGCTCTGGCTACAAGGCACAAGACTATTTTTGGAACTCCTGACCGTAGCGTGTAGTTGTCTCTGCCGAGGCTTTTGAACGCATAGCCGGCGTCGCCGTTGCCACAGAGGACAATGGACATGAGGCATAGGACGGTGACGACGACGGGCAGGAGGAGGTAGTTTGCCACGAGGAAGAAGGGGCTCGCGAAGACGACGGGGATGACGGAGTGGTAGTACTCACTGAGGAAGTTCACCTCGTCGTTCATCACCTGGAACAGCGCCTCTGCCGCGTTGCCCTCGCTGCCGCCGTTGTTGTTGTACAGGCCGTTCAAGATGAGGCTCCGGCAGTCGCGGGCTTCCGCGTCGGTCATCGCTGGCAGGTGCTCGAACCGCCGGCGCAGCAACTTGAAGAGAGCGAAGGAGAGGCAGAGCCTCTTGAGGCGTTGGTTCTTGTCGTAGTGGTCGAAGAGCTGGTCGGACTCGGCGAGCTCCCAGACTTTACCGACGGTGACGATGCTGTCGTTGGAGGCGACGTCGTTGAACTCGTAGCCATCTGCGGTAGCCTTCTTCACCAGCTTCTTCTCTCCCATGACGATGTAGTTGCACCTCCTGAGCATCTCGTTTCCAATTATTCCACCATGCTGTTCGCCATGCTCCACGTCGACATGGTCACCTGCAGGTGCAGGGTGGTGCTGCTGGCGCTCGTCACCATGGTCGTCGACGTCTAGCATCTGAGCCATGTAGGAGGTGAGCACGGAGGCGTTCTTGCCATGGGCGTAGGAGCGCTTGCCGACCTCGGTGAAGGCGATCCGCTGCGCCACTTTGGTGGCACAGAGGATCCAGAGGATGCCGAACACCGCCTTCCGTCCAACGCTCTTGATGTTGAAGAAGACGAGGTTTCCCAGCCAGAAGACGCGGCCGGCGCGCTGGATGGTGCTGGAGTAGCCGCGCATGCGGATCTCGTCCACCTTCTTGCGGAGGAGCTCCACCAGGAGCATCCACACCAGGATCAGCCCGGCCGTCAGGGAGAGGTCAGCAGCACCGGCAGTGGAGGAGGTCGAGCTGGAGCTGGAGCTCGTGGTGGACCTCGCGTTCTTGGCCTCCGAGAAGAGGTAGGACATGACGGGGAGGAAGAGGGAGAGCGCCGAGGAGAGGAAGAGCCGGACCTTGGGGTCCAGGATGGCGCTCACGTCGGAGATGCCGCTGAAGAGGTTGAGGTTGAAGAAGAGTCCGGCGAGCACGAACATGATGACGGAGGAGGACACGATGGTTGGCTCATTGCTCTGGTCGGTGTAGGATGCTGTGAGGTTTATGATGTACAAGTTGATGTGTTGAGGGCATAATGTTGTGACGTTAAGGTAGACGCTATGGTTAAAAACTGTCATTGCTAGCTGTAGGCTGTTACAACTACAGGCTTCAGTGTACGTAATCTAGCAGGTTTGGTCGTTGGCCCCTGGACATTGGCCACATTAATTGCATGCTATATATAAGGCAAGCTAGTTTGCCTTGCAAGCTTCATGCGTTCGGGGTCTGCTTGGTGGTTGACGGCGAACGGTATCGCGTGCATGCTAAGTTTTGGTTTGGTGTCCAGGATCATAAGCTAATAGCTAGTGTTCAAGTTCAAGCTCACGTTACTGAACTGGTCGACTGAGGAGAGAGTATAATCGATCTCTTGCTTTGTTGTCAAGTTTTAGTCTGATATAACTGATGATGTATATATCGAAAGTGCTTGGCATGATTGGCTTCTCGCATATATAGTTTATTTTTGCTGTGTGCTTTGCCTTTGGTATTTTATTAATTTCAGAATCTTTCTTTACCAAGATGCAAAGAGCAGCGCATGAGTATGAGAGAATACGTGAACTAGTGCATTTCTCTTGTCTTTGTCCTTTATTTGCATTTATAATTTCTACTATCTTTTCTTTACCAAAAGACACACCATGCAATCAGTCTCCTTTAATTTGGAATCTGCCTTAGTTATGTTTTTTTTACAACTGACTGAACTTCGAGCACTATGAAAATAAAAGCTCTGCATCCATCCTTAGTCCTTATACCATATAATACATATGATCACGTGCTCAGCAAGCTCATTGGTTTTTTGTATACAATGCTTCTAGAGAGGAAATAAAGGAATATTTTTATATATACCACCGCGCTAAGAATAAGATGTACTTCTCGTCTACCATCCGATCATCTGAGTAATATAGTACATACAAGACCTAACATGTCATTGACTCCCTTGGCGTGGTATAGTTGAAAAGGGCCCCTCATCAATTATGGTTGTATAAATACAAATTTCCCATGAATGAATGCACATTGAACCTTGACGCACTATGTTTTTCTAGATGGGTGGGTGTGGGTAGAGGATTGTTTCTTAGGTTTCCTAATGGCAATTGTAGAAAATAATTGGAATGGATTAATCCCTAGGTTGTCTCCTATGTTAATTGTGTAGTTGGTATAATTGATACTCCCTCAACTCCAAATTATAAGTCATCCTGATGGCTTATCCATACCCATTGCTGCAGTTATGATCACCACACTGCACTATGCTAGCTCCACAAGTGTTTAAGAATCGAGTGACATAAGATGGAGTTCAATTGGGCTCTAAAAAATTTAAGCAACACCAACCTTAACCCATGCAATTCTAGTTCACTCGCGTGTTCAAATCCCTAGAACTAAGCAGGATCAAACCAAGACAAGTCCTTAGGGCCATCACACTAAGTCAAGTCCTTATGTCATTGCACACTAGCGATAGGTCCTTAAGCGAGGAAATGCAAACCTAGCTAGAAGAACAGATCGAGACAAACCATTTATACCTGTTGCAAGGAATGTAAGTTTTTTTGAAAGACAACAGGGGGGGGGGGGGATTTGTCCCCACTTGATCAATTACCATAGATCCCAGGAAAAACTGGTGGGTGGAGGGGCATTAGCCCAGTTTTGGCATGGTGCCAAGTTACAAATGTGGTGAAAGGGAGAGCAAAACAACTTAGTTACATGAGACTAATGGATCTCTAAGAGGTAGATAAGTCGTTGGATCTTCTTTGCAATCGGCATTGCCAATCAATAGCAGTCACTTTGCAAGTGGCCATTAACCTATCCATACTCGGTGTCATTCCCCTGAACACGACATCATGGCGATGTTTCCATAGCTCCCAACAACACAATAGCAGGAAGGTTGAGGTCGCCTCCTTGGGCACTCGGGGTGGTGTTCTGGTTTCGCATAGCCTCTGAACTTCATTTGGTTTCTAGCCAATTTGTCTCCAAAAGGACTGAGCAAAGGTGCAGCCTGTTATGATGTGATCAGCGTCTTCATCTTGGCTCTTGCACAGCTCGCACAGGGCATCCCGGTAGGAGGCCTTTCCTCTCCAGGTTAACTTTGCACTGAATTCTATTCTGGACTAGGAGCCAGACAAAGAATCTCACTCGTGGGGGTGCATGGTTGCACCATACAAAGTCGAAGTAGGGAAGTTTCTGCTCTTCTCTAATCGAAGCTTTGTATATCATCTCGGCAGCAAGTTTGCCATCAATCTTGGTGAATGCACAACTTCTGTCATCTGTAGAGGTTTCCAGGACGACATCTCGGAGAAGGTGTCTCAACTGATCAAGCTCATTCTTGGCTTGGGGAGTTAGCCGGGGTTGAATCATGGACTGCCACTCATTGCCGAGAGCAGTGTTTACTGAAACATCTCCATTCGTGAAGTGGCTATGCAAGGAGGGGTAGGCATCAGCAAGTGTAGTATTTGTCAGCCATTTGTCATACCAGAAGGAAGTGTTTTTTTCATCTCCCACTCTGACATGAGAGATGCTTCTGTAGGCCGGCAACAATTCCCTCATTGCTTCCCAGTGTGGACCGATGATGTCCCCATGGAGGTCAGATAGTCAGACATGGCTCCTCGCCCAAGCTGCCCAAGATGAGTCTCCGAGGTGGTGAAGACGATGTATCAGTTTGATCAACAGTCAAGCATTCTAGGTGTCTAGGCATCTGATCCTGAGACCTCCATCCTGCTTTGCTTTGCAGACATTTTCCCATGCGACTAGACATGTCGGGTTCATAAACCCAGGGTCCCTCATGGACCTGCTTCCCAGCAAAAGCTCGGCCCAGCAGACGACATTGCGAACGATGCGCAACTTCTAGGCCGGCCCAAATACTTAACGATAGGCCAGAAGGACGACGCTCGTTTCTGACTCTGGCCTGCCTCTCCGACCAGAAGGCCTGGCCAAGAAGGAACGACGCTCGCTTTCGACTCCGGCCCGACTCTCCGACCGGAAGGCCTGGCCAAGGAGGAACGATGCTCGCTTCCGACTTTGGCCCGCCTCTCCGACCGGAAGGCCTGGCCAAGGAGGAACTTGACTCTCCAACCGGAAGGCCTGACCAAGGAGGAACGATGCTCGCTTTCGAGTCCGGCCCGCCTCTCCGACCGAAAGGCCTAGCCAAGGAGGAACAACGCTAGCTTCCGACACCAGCCTGCCTCTCCGACCAGAAGTACACCGAACCTCCACTTACAGCTCTTCTCCGACCGGGAGGCCGGAGCCGACTGGGGAACGACCGACAGGGGCCGCTCGCTCGGTGAAGACCTAGGAAACGGATAGAGCAAGTAAAGCAGGGCGCTCAAGTCAACCACAATACCGAGGACCGTACCCTGCACACCTATAGGATAGCACTGTCAAGGCATGTCAGAAGGGTGCTCTACAACCTTCCAGACGTGTCCAAACACAAACAGTGGTATGGGCGCCGACATTTATCCTACAACATGGTAGGCACCGACATTGGCCTTACCAGAAGAACGCAGTGGAACCAACCACATGCATCCAGCCATCAACAGTATTGTGGGCGCCAACAAACCACCTTGTACCCGACGGCGTGGGCAACAAGACTACGTAGCACACACTCTCTTTCTCTCACACTCTCTCTTGTAAAGCCGTCCCCTTCATCTATAAAAGGGGATGCGCTCTCTCCAAAAAGAAAAATCGATGGGAACAACCATCAAATTCGTGGAAGACTTCATCAAATTCGATCGCCTACCAACATCGCCAAATATACTGGGAGACGAATCCTGGTATATGGCTCAAAGACTTCCGGCTCGCCTGCCGAGCTGGAGGAGTGGATGATGACCACTTCATCATTCAATACCTCCCTATCTATGTGGGGGAACATGTTCGAGCATGGCTCGAATTCCTCCCACATGATAGCATCCGCAATTGGGCGGACCTCAAGAGGATCTTCGTCAGGAATTTCTAGGGGATGTATGTCCACCCTATGAACTCCTAGGACCTCAAGAGCTGCCAGCAGGAGCCCAACGAGTCCCTATGGGATTACATCTGTAGGTTCTCAAAGCGATGCAACTCCCTTCCTGATGTCGTCGACGTGGACATCATCAGCGTATTCCTCTCCGGGACAACCTGCGAGTCCCTAATCCACAAGCTTGGCTGCCTGAAGCCCCGTACCACCCGTGACCTGTTCGACGTCGCCACGAACCACGCCTCTAACAAGGAGGTGGTCGGAGCGATCTTTAGTGGAGGATGGGACAAAGGCATGGCCAAGCGCGAGGACCAAGACGAGGGCCCCTCCACATAGAGGGGCAAAAAGAACAAGACGGATCAGCGCCGACTGGCCAACTCCGCGTTGGTCACCGCGGTTGATCGCGCAGGCAAGCAGCCCCAGCAGGGCTAGCCCGATCACTTCAACAAGCTCATGGATAGCCCATGCACCAATCGTGCCTACCCCATCAAACACCTCTACAAGGATTGCGAGCACCTCAAACGCTTCCTGTGATAGGCCGGCGGGCCGAAAGAAGGAAAGAGCAAGGAGGCAGCAGCCAAGAAAGGAGGCATGGCGGGCAAGGACGAGGATGGGTTTCCCGATCCCGAGGAATGCATCATGATCTTCTGGGGTTCTTATGCCATCTACTCTAAGCGCCAGCACAAAGTGCGCTACAAAGGGGCATGCACCGCCAAAACAACCATCCCCTCCTTCCTTCGTTGGTCAGAATCATTTTTTATCAGAGGGACCATCCTTCCCACGTCACCAAACCAAGTTGCTACCCGCTCATCATCAACCCCATCGTCCGCAAGAAGCGCCTCACTAAGGTGCTGATGGACGGAGGCAGTGGCCTCAACATCCTCTACGTTGATACCCTCGATGCCATGCACATCCCCCGATCGGAGCTCCGCCTGGTGAGCTCTCCCTTCCACGACATGATCCCAGGGACGTAGGCATACTCGCTAGGGCAGATCGACCTGCCTGTCACGTTTGGTGACCGAGCCAACTTTCGCTCGGAGGTCATCACCTTCGAAGTGGTGGACTTCCTAGGGTCCTACCATGCCATCTTGGGGCGGCCATGCTACTCCAAGTTCATGGCGATCCCCAACTACACCTACCTCAAGCTGA